TCGTGGCTTGGGCAGATCGACCAAACCTGCCGTGAAAAATTAGAGATGGGCCGAGTCCCTGCCTGGCGTCTAGCCATGAGGGATCCTCGTAGGTGGAAACGAAGGTTGGATGCGGCTATGTGCCCCTGTCGGCGTCAGCTCCTTGATGATGATGATGGTAAAGATGGTAAAGGATGAAGAAGAGATGGAAGACATGCATTGTAAAGCGAAGAGGATCACAAATAGTTTTGTTGTAAGGATGCTCGATTGAGGAAGAACTGGCAAGTTGTATGTGTGAGAAAGAAAAGACTATGGTAAAACCAGTACCCAAGGTGGATTTAGAGCTGTCTTCATGGACATGGGTACTGGAGTGAATGGAAATATGTACAAGAAAATGTGTAAGTACGACAGAAGGTGGGATGTTTGATTTGGGTAGAAGAGCAATTACAGGAGGTATACGCCGGAAAGGGAAAGATTAGGCAGAAAGAGGAAAGAATCAGAGATAATGAATAGTTGAGTAGGCAAGTAGAGCATCCATATGAACAGGGAAAGGGGTAGGTAAACATGGAGAGGAGAAGGTATGACAAAGGGACTGAAGGAAAGTTAGTTTGGAGAAAAATTGGTGAAAACAAGCATAGCTTCTTACAGACAAAGAGAACGACATGGAGAAAGGGATGGTAAGCCTGATTCAGAAAATAAGCTCTCAACTGGAGAGGGTCAAAAGGCACCTAGGGTTAAATGAAGACTGCAATGGTGGATTGTGTCAAGGTGTGTGAGAAGGGAGGCGAGGCAGTAGAATATATATGACAACCATGATCAAGGGTGGAGAGGATTAGGGTAATATGGAGATGAAGGAGTGTTTTGTGGCCTGAACCCCAGGATATATATGAGAGAGTCTGTGAGAGTCAGAGGCAATGGGTGGCCATTTCTTTAACAGAAATTATATGATCTTGCCAAGCCAGTTTCAAGTCAAAAATGGGACCAAGGAACTTGCACGAACGTGAAATTTGACAGGAGCACCATATAGAAAGAGTGGAGGTTGGGAGCTTACATGTGAAGGTTGGAAAAGGTTTTAAAAGTAGAAAATCAAAAGCTGTGGTTGGAAACCCAAGAAAAGATTGATGTTATAGCAGACTGGAAAATCTTATGGAAAACAGGTATGGAAGGACCAGAGGCAAATCTGACATGGAAGGTGCAATTAGTAAGAAAGGACCATGTATGCCATGGAAAGATAGTTGTTGAAGGATATGATTTTACCATGTGGTATCATATGCCTTTTCTAGGTTGAAAAGGACAGCTAATATTGAATCACAATATGCAAATACTGATGCAATTTGTGTTTCAAAATAAGCAAGAGGATCACTTATGCTTTGGCCATGATGGAATCCAAACTGATTTGGAGATAAGGTTGTGATATTTGAGGTATCACATTAGGTAGATGTTAACTATCTTTTCTAGCAATTTCCATTGACAGCTTGTGAGTGCTTGGGACAGTAGTCTTGAGGAAGAGTACGAGGTTTGTTTGGTGTTAGAAAAAGTAGTACAAGAGCTTCACGCCAGTGGGGATTAAAGTTTCTGGTTGTCCATAAGTTACTGAATACAGATGAGAGGAAAGACAAGGAAGTAGATGGAAGGTGTCATAACATACGGTATGTATACTGTCTAGTCCTTCATGGGTGTTGTGACATGACTGCAATGCATAACAGATTTCAGAAGAAGAAAAAGGGGCAGTATAGGATTCTACAGAGGACTGGGAGAAGGAGATAGGAGTATGCTCCTTGTCTGATTTTAAAGAAAAGAAGTAAGGAGAGAGGGGAGAGCTGCTGCTGACCTGGCTAAAATAGGTACCAAGTTCAGTAACAACTTGAAGAGGGTCAGAAATAAGCCTACTTTGGATAAGGAGGACAGGGGCAAGATGAGGATGTTTTGCTGAAAGTTAATGGATCTGCCACGAGACTGCTGAGACAGGTGTAAATGAATTTATGGATGAAACATACTCGTGCCAGCTGTTTATGATTGAGTTTATACGGTGAAGATGAGCTAATGCCTTTCTAGATTATATGATGGCTGTTAATTCACTGGGAGTGCCTCTCATGTTATGAAACTTGTTCCTAGCTGCAAACTTCAACCAAAGCACTTTGCTACAGTCTGAGGTCCACCATGGAACACATTTTGAAGTGTAAGGTTGGGAAGTTTGGGGAATGGCTGTATAGGCAGCATTAAGGATATTGGCTAAGAAGTATAGAAGCATGTCTGAAGTGGAAGGGAAGGATGAAGGAGGAAGGTCAAGGGTAGAAAGAGAGGTAAAGGTATGCCAGTCAACTTTGTGAAGGCACCAGTGAAGGGGTTGGGTAGTGGGACATAGAATGTAGGAGTACAGAGGATAGGGAAGTGATCACTATAGTGAAAGTGGTCTAGAACTGACCAATAGAAGTCTAGATAAAGGGAAGGAGAGCAAAGAGAAAGATTAAGGCATGAAAAGAATTGGGTATGCATGTCAAAGTGAATGAGAAAGTTTGAATTTAAGAGAATAAGGTCAGTGTTTGAGAAAAAGTGTTCCAGGAAACAACCTTAGGAAGTAATTGTGGAGTTACTCCAAAGGGTGTGGCAATAGTTGAAATCTCCAATTAACAGAAAAGGTGGATGGAGTAATTGTGATCCAGCAGCAGAGAAAATGCGAATAGCTGTGCAAGGTTTAATGGTTTGTAAGGGAGGTATGATGG